ATCCAACTGCTGCATACCTCCTAGCCCAAATTCTTTCTTACATATTTAACCTCCAACCCCATCTCTTCCTTAGCTTCATAAGTGGAAAGCCAGCCTTGGCTGCCTGCCTGATGCCCGCTGGGAGGTGGAAGTGGTTAGTCTGGAGCTGGGTTGAGGCTCCCTGGGGCAGCTGAGCCATGACTAATGCTGAGCAGACTGTGACCAACAACCGCAAGGCGTGTGCTTTTATGGAAGAGTGCGACAGTGTGCTGGAGGGGTCTTCCTCCTAGAAGAAAGTGCCGGGCGGAATTTCAGCGGCCCCATCAGCCGGTGCCTCTCACCCTTCACCTGGGCCTGCGGAGTGGAACAAATAAGATGCATTTTAACCTCCGAGCAGAGTGGGCTCAAGTCAGTTTGGAGACAGAGTCACAGGACAAGCAAATTTGAGGGGTTCTAGTGCTTATATAATGTTTAACTCCCAAATGTGCTCCCCCCATGAGGACTAAGTGATTTCGATCGAGAGTGACCTTCCCAGCCATCATTTCAGACCCCTCTCCCCAACTTTCCATGTATGTATACATGACATTTCATCATTTTGCATAGAACCGAAAGAAGACCTAGATAGTTAAGGAGTCCACCTATCCTGTGCTGCTAAATATCTGGTGCGTGGTCACATGGTCCATATGAGCACACCCTCATGCAGGAACTCCTGGGCAAAGGTTGGCTGTTCCATACGGTGTTTCTCTAATTTAAAGTTCTTTCTTGAGTTTGGCCATTGGGCATCCCTACTGTCACCTTTCTGGATGTTCATTCACGCACACAGGTGAAGACATTTCCTGGTAGCTTCATATTGCCGTGCACCATGCTGGGCCCTGGGTTGATGGACCACACATGTAATCTTGCTTCCAGTGGGGACACCAGACAGTCCTTCAGCTATTCCTCCAGGGCCTAGGTTGGGTCCCCTCACTCCCCTCATCTCTCCACCGGGCTTGCTCTAGCTCAGTGGTTCTCAACCTTCTGGCCCTTTAAATACAGTTCCTCATGTTGTGACCCAACCATAAAATTATTTTCATTGCTACTTCATAACTGTAATGTTGCTGCTGTTATGAACCGTAATGTAAATATCTGATATGCAGGATGGTCTTAGGCGACCCCTGTGAAAGGGTCATTCGACCGCCAAAGGGGTCGCGACCCACAGGTTGAGAACCGCTGCGTCTAGCTGGACTTCCCTTCCAGAAGGGTGTTGATCGTTAGTCTGCACTCTGGCCATGTCCAATCAGCCAGTCATGACCTTGTAAAATCTCACAACTGTTTTATGAAGCCCTCTCGAAACGAAATTCTGGCTATTTTGTCTCATGTTCTTTAGGGAGCATATTATGTGTCCATGAAACATAAAAAACTAACTCTTACTTACTTTTTAAATAAAGTTCTTACATTTGACACACCTCCTGTATAAGTTTATAGTTAAACATGTTCTGGCACAAATCACAATCAAGTGATATTATGTCTTGCTTCGCCAGAATAATATTTTGTGAAAAATGTTTATGAGAAAAATAATTGAAGCTATTTTGCTTTATACAGTTATTTAAAATAAAAATTATAGGTTAGAAGAGTCTGCATAGCTCTGTCTCGTTTAGAGCTTTTTAACAAACTCAAAAGAAAATTAAATACTGTTGAGAAGCTGGCATTAGCCCTTGCCTTTTGGAGACAGACCATCTGATTTGCTCAGAGGTCCACATTGCCAGTGAGAGGAAGCCATGAGCACAGGGCTTCAGGTACACGGAGCTTAGAAAATGCTAGAAGATATACTTACCCACGGTGTGTCAGCAGACTCAGACATGGCCCCCAAGATTTCCGTTCCCTGGTGCACATGCCCTGCCCAGTCCTCTGGAATGTGAGCAGCACCTGTGACTGTGAGGGAGTCTGATTCCCATGAATAGGGTATATTTTATGGTAAAAGTAATGTTTCATATGTAATTAAGGCCCTAAACGTTGACTATGAGTTAATTAAAAAAAAAGATTATCCTGGGTGGACTTGGCTTAATCAGGAGAACCCTTAAAAGAAGTCAGATGCAAAGTGAGAGTCTCTTGCTGGCCTTGAAGGAGCTATGGAGAAGGCCACGTGGCAAGGACCCTAGGTGGCCTCTAAGAGTTGAGAGTGGCCCCTGGCTGGCAGCCAGTAAGGAAATGGGATGTCAGTCCTACAACCGCAAGGAACTGACTTCTGCCAGCAACCAGTGAGCTTAGAAAAGGATCTCAGCTTCAGATGAGATCACAGTCCTGGCTGACTCCTGCATTTCAGCCTGTGAGACCCTGGGCAGCGGACCCAGTTGTGCTGTGTCTGGACTCCTGACCCACAGAAACTGGGAGGTAACAGATGTGTGTTGTTTCATGCTGAGGAGTGTAAGTTCATTTGTTACTCGGCAGTAGGTAACTAATACACACAGGACCAGTTAACAGTCGGGAAGAGAGTTGCTCAGAGGAAGCATAACCCAGGATGACACTTCAGAGTAACTTGCTTAATCTCATGGTCAATTGCCATGTGGCCACTGAGACAACTTCAAGGGATTGAGATTTCACACTGAACGTTCCATACCTGGACACGGATCACCTTTTCTTCCATTGCAGCGGCTCTCCAACTTCATCAGGCATCAGGATCACCCGTCAGGCTTGTGGGAGCCAGTGGCTGGGTTGGAACTGAGGGCTGAGTTTCAGGAGGTCTGGGGCAGGGTCTGAGAACACGCACACCCCAGGGGAGGCTGATGCCTCTGGCCCAGGGGCCACGCTTTGAGAGCCACAGCTCCTGATCAATCAAGAGGTCCTCATGATCTCCAGGACTGGATTTCTGTATCCAACCTTTTCCTCATTTGACATGAAAACATGTTAACAAGATTTTTTAAAACAAGGCTAAGCCCTAGCGGGTTTGGCTCAGTGGATAGAGCATTGGCCTGTGGACTGAAGGGTCCCAGGTTCAATTCCGGTCAAGGGCACATGCCCGGGTTGCAGGCTCGACCCTCAGTGGGGGGTGTGAGGAGGCAGCGGATCAATGATTGTCTCTCGTCATTGATGTTTCTATCTCTCCCTCTCCCTTCCTTTCTGAAATCAATAAAAATGTACTTTTATTAATTAAAACAAGGTTAAAATAAAGAGAAGGGACAGAACCTGGTATACCTTGAGTAATCCAAAGTGCTTTTTATCTCTAATTAGTCATCTGAGAACCAAGCGAGTGATGAGAGACTAGTTAAGTCAGGTTCCTAAAGAACGACATTGTTCTGTTTCCACAGCTAAAGATCCCCTTGGGTCCCACGGACATCTGCATTTCCCCTCTTTGCAGCTCCGAGGGTCAGATGTCTGTCTTCCACCTGTCACCCCAGGCACCCCTCCGGGCCCCCGTAACCAGATGTCAGTGCGGAGAGGTGCTTTGGGGCAACAGTAAGTTCTCTAAGTGCACCAGTCCCCACCGGTGACCTCACCTTGAACCCCTCGGAGATGCAGCCAGAGCATCAGCCTGGAGACAGAATGAAGTTCTGGCTGAGCCTGGGGGGTATGCAGGTTCCCGGAAGTGCCCCGGGGACTGGGATGAGGAGAGAGGACCTACCTCCTGCCAGCAGAAGCGAGACCGCGTGGGGGTCCATGGGGCTGGGAGCACGCGTTGGAGAGAGCTTTGAAACTAGATTATGAGGGCAGAGGGTCAACGTTCTTTTATGACATCATTTAAGAATGATTTATTTGGGAGGACTCAGCATTATCATCTTATCCAAAATCACCATGCGTGTCAGAAAGCTTGCTAATAATCTGGGGGAGCGGGGGGCGTGGAGGGGGACCTAACTGAAAACAGCTGAGAGGTGGAGTGTGATCAGCGTGTCTTGTTTTTATTATTTGGCTCATTATACAACATAGAAGGAGTGGACCTGAGTGGTTATCCAAGTGCGTCTGCATTTCTGAGTAGAATGTAGGTGTGCCTGCCTTTGCACCCCAGAAAAAATGACTGATCTTGTCCATCAGAGCATCGTGGGCCCCCCGGCTGCCAGCTTTCCTGCTTTTAGTTACTTTCCCCCCTGAGAGATAGAAGCACTTGGGGGGCTTTCCCCAGGCTGCTGGGAAATGATTGATGGTGGGACTTCTTTTAATCCGAGTAAGGCGGTGGGAATCGGACCCCACGGACTTTGAAGACCACTGCCAAACATCCACGGCACCGAGGCCTGGCAACGTCACCTAATCTCCTACGAGGCGCAAAGCAAGCCCCAAACCAGCTGTGCAATGACCCCCTCAGGCCGAGGAGTCGGTCAGGCCGGCTTCCTCTCACGTTGCTTCACGTCCCTCCTCTCAAACTGCCCTCCCCTTGGCCCAGGGCGGCAGCATGGAGAGAAAAGATGTCAAAGGAAACGGACTTGAGGTCCGAGAAACACACCGTGTCTGGTAATATGCCAGGCCCGGGGCCGGTGAAGCCCACCCCGTGGCACCCAGACAATGCCGTGGCGGGGAGATCCAGGCCACAGGCTACCTGGCGACATCCTCGGAGAGAAAAGGCGAGTGGAACACTGAGAAGCTGGCCTGTTTCTTTAAAGTGAGGGATTGCAGCTGTCTGACGCTCTATTACCAATAGCAATAAATACAGTTGGCACCGAGAGCAAGAGCTTGCTCACCATTCGACAGATGTTTTGTGACCACAGAGTGGAGTCAGGGTGATGTGTGTCCCGTGCTCATCTGGAATGCCTCAGCAACCACCTCAGCGTCGCGGCCTCTTTCCACTCGGGCCACGAACGTGGAGTCCCCACGGGGGAACCTCTGGTCCTTCCAGAAGGGACTAGGAATACGAGAGAGAGAGAGAGAGAGGGCAAGAAGGGCGGAGAGCCCACGCTGTTTGGGCGCCAAACATCCTAGTTGCTGGGCTCTCAGTTCCCGGAGATGATGAGATTATAACCCAAGACCCACAACAATCCGCACAGGTTGCTCTCAGGCAACGTCGGTCACCAAAAAAGTGCGAATGCAGACGCCGAGGTGACTCCAACTCGCCGTGCTAGGCCAAGCTTGTTTTATTACATACATTCTGCACTCTAAGAACTAGTAACTTCGTATTGTAAACATTAAGCATACAGAGATTTCAAGGCCACATTCTACCACTGATTGTCTCTTCTGTCATGTATCTTTGGCTGGCCGAGATCAACTCGTAGTGTATAAATGCATAAGTTATATAATTATTATATAAAAGGGGGGGGGGACCGCATGGACTTGTATACTTCATTCTGACAAACGCACAGCGTTCGCGACTCGAAGGGACCCCGGAGCCCGCCTGGCCCAGAGCCGGGCGATGTCGGAGCGCAGCGGCCCGGAGCGCCTCTCGCCGGACCCCCCCGGGGAACAGAGCCCCCACGAAGCCATGCCGTCCCGAATGACTCTTTTAAATATCAGACAATTCCAGTTACAATTTTCTTTGGACAAACAAACAAACAAAAAAAGAGATGCATGTTTTCGTGTCTGAATCCCACCACTGCCCCTCGCTCCGTTCCGCCACGTCCTCCCTCTCACACTGGCTCTGGTGCAGCACTGACCGCGTTCAACCGTGAGTCCCCGTGATGCCTTCTCCGCAGTCCCAACACCGTCCCCTGTCCAGCTGCACGGCCTGAGCTCCCGCCCAGCCCTGCCTCCTCCGGCTCGGCCCCTCCGCACCCGCCCGCACATCCTCCAGCCCTCTTCTGCATCCACACGCTCTCCACGCACTTGCTCAGTCCCACGTCCGGCTCCTGGCCCCTGGAATACTGTAAAGGAGTTGGAGACTCTGGGTCGTCTTCACAGCTTGGGAGAGCTGGCCGCCCTCCGTCAAATGGAATGAATCTGATTTCACCCGGAGCAGCAGGCGCCGATGAGTTCCGTATCCACGTCCGCTGCACGGTCTCTTTTGTCTTTTTCTGCTTTGTTTTTGATATGTTTCTGTTTTTAAATACAGGTAGTTTTCCTTCAAATGGCATTAGGAACAGTACGTTATGTCCAGACTGTGTTTTCTGGATTGCTTTGGTTCTATCCTGGTTTGCATGAGCAGGATCCTGGACTCTGAAGTGTATACACATCTTCAGGCCACTTTTTCTTTGGCACTTTGTCCTATGACCTCAGGCTTCTACCTACAATGTCTTTTACAAGGTGGGCCCACAGATCCCAGGTCTGTGTACGTCCCATGGTCAGCATCCGCTGTCTCTCTGTAGTCATACTTTGGTCCTTCCCTCCCGCTAAGAGTCTTTGGGTCTCGTCCCTGGCTTCCTTCCCCATCCCCCGCCCAGCTTTCTCATTCCTCTTGAGGCACTTTTTTTTTGTTTTTTTGATTCCTGGTCTCCGATAGAGTGTGTGGCAATGTCCCGGCGGTGACTGCGTGCTGCTGGGAAAGGCCCCTCTCGGCTCTAGTAGTAGGTGCCCAGGTGAGAGGGCATGTGGCTGGCTGGCAGCCTCGTGTTCGGGTAGATGCCTCCGGTCGGGGAATTCCAGTACGGGTTCGGGGCCGCGAAGAAACTGGACGAGGTCACGGGGAGGGCCGGGGGGTGGGGCGCCACAAAGTTCATCTTCTGCGGGTGGGCGTGGTAGGAGCCCATGTACGGGAGGTCCGAGGGGTACTTGTAGAGAGAGGACTCCGGGGGGTGGGGCTGGAGGGCCTGGGCGATGCCGTGGAAGTCGAACTTGTAGGCGTAGCGCTTCCCGTGCACCTTGGTCATGATGTTCTTGTCGTAGTAGTAGCGCAGGGCGCGGCTGAGCTTGTCGTAGTTCATGTTGGGCTTGCTCTTCCGCTCGCCCCAGCGCCGGGCCACCTCGTCGGGGTCCGTCATCTTGAACTCCCCGTTGGTGCCCTCCCAGGTGATGCAGTTGGAGTTGGAGCTGTCGGAGAGGAGCTCCAGGAGGAACTGCCAGAGCTGGATCTGCCCGCTCCCTACGGGGGACAGGAAACAGAGCAGTGAGGACGGGGTGTACAGAGAGGCGGCCTTTCTTCAGTGACAGGGGGGTGCTACCGGGCACCCAGGGCCCTTTCCCAGGCCAGCACCTGTCCCTCAGATGCTGGGGCCTCCCCTGTTCTGCTGACAACTGCCTGTGGCTGGACAGGAGCCGCTTGGCCCATTCCCAGCAGCCTGTGGCCAGAGGGACAGACCAAGGCTACGGGAGACGGGCCTCCCTGCCTCAGGGAGGGGCCCAGCCTGGGAAGCTGTTCATGCTCCCAAGGTTCCCTGAGATCAGACTGAAGCAGGGGTCCACTAGGGCCCCAGGGTCCTCTTCCCCCTGCCCTGCCCTGCTTCCCTCCTCCCTCTCTCCCGAGAACATGCCCTTAGCTAATCACACACACAAGGATCCTCATCCCAAACTCTGCGCCCAGGGAACCTGCCCTAGGACGATGGCCCTTGGTGACTATCCGTCTGGTTACAAACCCAAGTCCTTAGTGGATGGCAGGCTGGTCCCATCCACTCCTGACTTCTCAGAGGAACATCCAGGTCAACACGATGTTTGCAGGGGTAGGGGGTGGAGGGCCTGTTTTTCCTATGTTGTGAGGCAGAATGGGCCGTTATGTGGATGGCAGTAATGACTTAATGCCATTTATATTGGCGAGGTCAAGTGAAAGAATAAAAGTCAGATTTAGGAAATGAACTCCTAAAAAGTTTATGGAAAAAAAATAAGAGAATGGAAGTAAACACCGTTATTTCTAACATAACATTTCGCTGGCACTCGGAAAGCCATTCTGTCAAAACTTTTCCCAGAACAGAACTCGCCCACTCAGAATGAGGAAGTTTAGAGAAGCGTTGGCCCTCTTTCAAACCAGATCGCCCCTTTCCAGTGTTTAGGCAAACGCATCGTAACGGAAAGCCACGTGTGCGCCCCGCGCTGCCGTGCCAACTGCGCTCACACAAGTTTCCAAGGAAGGAGAAGTGCTACAGTGAGTGGCTGCAGGTCCCGGGGGGAGGGAGGCAGGCTCCAACGAGGTTGAGGGGTCCTTGCTAGACTGGGGTGCACCGTCAGGATTCTCCTGACCCCATGGGAATCAGCTTTCAGAGATGCAGCTTTTATGTTTCCTTAAATTCAGAGACAAATCAGGCACCTTACCACGATGTTACAATACCTTCCAGCGGTTCTCAACCTATGGGTCGCGACCCCTGAAAATACATCCTGCATATCAGATATTTACATTATGATTCATAACAGTAACAAAATTACAGTTATGAAGTAGCAACGAAAATAATTTTATGGTTGGGGGTCACCACAACATGAGGAACTGTATTAAAGGGTCGCGGCATTAGGAAGGTTGAGAACCACCAGCGTAAGGCTTACGCTGACTCACGGCTCGCTAAAGGGGAGAAGCATTCAATACTGACAGTCATACTGAATCCCAGGAGAGACCCAGGGCTGTCCAGCAGATTAAAGATGCTTTGCAAATGCGTCAGAAGCAGGTCTTTTCTCCTGGACTCCCAGCTACAGCGGCCTGGGGCTTATGGCCACAAAGACTACCTTTCATTATACTCTCAGCGAGAACCCAGGGACGTGATCGGATGGTCAAAGTCGCTTTAACTGGCAACCATTCAGGGAACCGATGTCATGTAGACCTCGATTACGAATGTGTTTTCCACTCAGTCCTCTCACCAGCTCCCTGTGTAAGCTGTCCAGCTCGCACCTCCTCGTTCCCATGCGGGCCACGTGGGGAGGGCTGTGTCTGTGAATCCATCCACCCACCGGCTCCGTGAGAAAGGTCAGCCTTCCCCGACTGCATCCCGTAGGCGATCGCGTTCCGTCCAGCCGCACATTTGAAAGGTATTAGCAGCTTGTAGGGCGTCACACTGGGAGCCTTTGCTTTCTCGGGACCACAAACTGTTCTCAATCAAGTCTTCTTGCCCCCAACGTTTCATTAATATGCATTTTAAACACACACACAAAGGATGGAGTGGGAGAACCATATGGTTTTAGTGTATATATTGTAACCAAAGGATTAATACTCGGAAAAAAAAACCATATGGGACCTGGGGATAGAGAAGAACACGGATTTTTTGATTTAGCAATCTGACATATGCTTCAGCATAAACAGGGAATCATCTGAAAATAAATATTCAGGCAGCCTCCTCAGCGAAGAGAGCAATTCCACAGATTTGTAGAAACACGCAGACCTTCCTACGCAGCTGAAAGAATATTCGGGATCTGTCCAAATGTGGACACTGCCCCCCAGGAACCTGTCCCTCGGCCGCTTCCTGTACAAACGTGGACCACGGGACCAGCGGACAGCCGGCCCCGTCTCTCCTGCTTCAGAAGCACTAGCTGGCCCGGACTGAAAGCCCTGGATGGAAACTCAAGCTCAAGAAACGGATGAGCACTCCTCCCTGTTTGCCCTAAATGAGCCCCTAGGACCCGGGCTCCGGCCTCTGAGCATCCCCAGGGTCTGTGGGAATGAGATCTGTAAACAAAACCATTGGCTCCCAAACCTGAGAACCCCACGTAAATGCAAGCTCAGCGAACGCGCAGGAAATGGACACTACGTCCAGCTCATTCACGGTTGCACCTGACGCCCATCACCTCACGGCATGAGCTCACAGCCTCACCGGGGGAGAAGGTCAGGGGTGCACAAGGCAGCTGAGAAATCACAGTCGCTGGGAAGGTAAAGGGGTTACTCACGGCCACAGAATTTCAGCAGCAACCTAGTCAGTTCTTTTACTGTCAGAGTGATAACGCTGATGGTGCCACATGGGTGCATTTTAGACTAGTGGGTACGGGTCCCAAGGCAAGATACCTAAGGCTTGGGAAGCTTAGAGTGACTTGGGGCGCTCGCTGGCCACACACACAAGTAAAAGAAGCTCTTGTAAGACCCAAGCCTCCCACAGGCATCACCACCTGCACCTCATGAGTAACAACTGTCTCAAGAACATCCTCAACACTAGGAAGGGGTACTCAGTTTGACCAGGGTAGACGTGCGCGGTGGGGCGCCATGGGGGCTGCCCGCCTCCAGGAGAGCCCGGCGGGGTGAGCAGCACAGGGCTTGGAAGAGGCCCAAAGGCAATGCTTTCATTTTCCAGAGGAAAGAAGAGAAACAGGGCAGCAAAGAGGTCCAGACTGAGCCTAAATGGGCAGAACATCTGAACGGTTTATAAACCACAGAGCAGAGGGGGGGGGGGGGGGGGGTTAGCAGTTGTGGGATGAGCAGGGCTGTCCCTGAGCAGGACACTGTGGGGACAGCCAATGGAGAGCCCAGCAGGCTCCACGGTGGCAGTCGTCTGGGGCCACTGTGGCTCAGAAAGGACTTGCTGGAGGGCCAGGGTGTCTGGCGGCTTCCAGGGCCACTGTGGTGACAGCACTGCTGGCTGACTCCTGGCTCCACCACGGATGGGACCTGGGGCAGCTCCCCCAGCTCTGTGCCTCGGTGTTCTCACCTGTAAAACGGGCTGATGGCAAGAGCACGACCTTCAGGGTCACTTTGAGGATGAACACAGTAGGTGACGCTCTGATTCTGACTGGTTTGGGCTGGAGATGCAAGTTTAAAGGAAGGTACACCCCTGGCCTGGAGCTGGAGGAAGCCACTGGATGCTTCCCGGGTGCCAGAGACGTAGGTGACTAATTTGCAAAAGGTCAGCGAGGGTCGGAACCCTGCTGCAGGCTGCAGCCCTGAATCACCGCACAAACCTGCTCTCAAGCCCATGCCTGCACGTCCCCTCCAACCCCTCCCAGGGGTCCCCTCCCTGGGCCGGGAGCTTGGGAAGTTCCCAGTGGGAGACTGGCCACGCCAGAACCCCCTAACAATGAGCAGCACATCCTAAAACGGTGCCGGGTTTTGCCTGAGCCACATGCACTGTCCCAGCTGCCGGGGAAGGCTCCCCAGGTGTCCCCAGGCAGCCACCCAACGTACCACCACAGGCCTCTTTCATGGAAAGGTGGCCTTGGTCCATTCAGGGAGCCACGTGAAACGCGCGGCCCGCCTGACGGACACAGAGGAGCTGCTTGCTCCACATGGTAACCCAGGGACACCCTTTCCCAGCAGGAGAAATACGGGCCAAGTGCACAGCAGTGAATGCCTGGGGCGGAGACGGCGCGATGCTGACATCGCGCGTGCATTCACGCTCCATGATGTCATCTTCCCACTGAAAAGAATGTGCACCGTGGAAAGAGCCAGCACTGGGAGGGATGAGGGATTTATTTTTTCAGAGCTCGGAATAATAGACTCCGACAGGAAGGAGCATTCATAGAAAGATGAAAGACACGCCGGTCCCTGGGAAAGGCCACGTGAGTACAGCTGATGGGGCCCAAGGCCGGGTGGAGAGAAGGCCTAAGTCAGTGATGGCGAACCTATGACACGCGTGTCAGAGGTGACACGTGAACTCATTTTTTTGGTTAATTTTTCTTTGTTAAATGGCATTTAAATATATAAAATAAATATCAAAAATATAAGTCTTTGTTTTACTATGGTTGCAAATATCAAAAAATTTCTGTATGTGACATAGCACCAGAGTTAAGTTAGGGTTTTTTAAAATGCTGACACGCCGAGCTCAAAAGGTTCGCCATCATGACAAGCTAAGGAACAAAATCTTCATGTGCAGGTCAGAAGTAGGATGCCGCCGCCTCCCCAGGCCCGCCGAGAAAGGTTTCAGGGGTAGAGGGCGGTCCTTCATAAGACGCGAGTGTCCCTGGCTACTTAGGTACCAAGACATCTTCCCAGGCCTCCCGCCTCCGCCCAGGCCCCCTACCTACGGTGGGCATCCCAGCTGCTGGGCACCGTGTGCCTCTGTGAGAGCTGAGGCTCGGCTCACGGGCCGGCCACTCTCTGAGCCCCCCTCTCCCCTAAGCCACACCTTTGCGCTGTGACATGGGCGTGGACCTGAATTTCACCAGCCGGCGTGTGTGTGTGGGAAGGCCAGTTCGGTCTTGTGTGGCACCCCGGCACTTCGCTCCCTACCTGACCCCAGACCCACCCCGTGCACCCGAACAGCTGCTAACCGCATGGCGAGCCTTCCTTTCTCTCCTCTCGCTCCCCGTTCTCCCAGACCTCGCCGCCCCGCCCCGCCCCTCCCCGGGCTTGCTCACGGAGTTTAGGGGAAGGCAATGAAAGACGTTGCAGACAGAATCCGGGTTCAAATCTGGCCTCCCCTCTGATTGGCTGGGTGACCCGGGAAAAGCTACCCACTTTCTCTGGTCCTCGGAGTCCCCTTCCGGTGGATGGAGATAATGACCTCCAGCTGCCAGGACCCCAGGCGTGCGCGCAGCGCAGGCATCACGTGGGGGAGCGGTCAGAATGTGGCCTCAGGTCACTGAATTAACGCTGCCAGCATCTGGCTTCCGTCTCCCCTGAGCACCGCTCCAGGCCCACCTCCCTAAGCACCTCACTCACAGTCATCGCTTCAGTTCGAAGGCTGTGGAGCCCCTGCAGACGGAAAGCTGACCACAGGCACCGGGAGGGACCGAGACCCGGAGACGCGCCACCAGGCGGGCTCACGTATGAGGGAAGCGCCTGCAGCTGCCCAGGTTGCAGTGTGGCCATTCCCTACGCCCTCTCTCCATGGCATGTGAGCTCCCTGAGCATCAGGACGAGATCTTACTGCTCTGACACTTACTTCTTCACTGAGCACCTGGTCCAGACCCGGGGGAGGGCAGGAAACAAAGCAGGCCCTTCCACCCCGTCAGACGCTTAAAGAACATTTGCTGAATTTGTTGACATGAACTAAAATAGAATATCAGTAGTGGACTCTCTAAATCAGTGGTTCTCAACCTGTGGGGCGGGAGGCCTTTGGTGGTTGAACGACCCTTTCACAGGGGTCGCCTAAGACCATCCTGCATATCAGATATTTACATGACGATTCATCACAGTAGCAACATTACAGTTATGAAGTAGCAACAAAAATAATTTTATGGTTGGGTCACACATGAGGAACTGTATTTAAAGGGCCAGAAGGTTGAGAACCACTGCTCTAAATCATCGTATCTTATGTTCCCAAAGCATAGCCTCCCTCGAGGGGACGTGTGCTGAATCTGAATTTTTCCATTTCCAGCCCGATGTTGGCCTCAACGTTTAGAAAATATACTTTCCAGCCTGTGCCGGCAAAATGCCCGTGCCATCTTGGCGTCTGACTTGCTGCTGAGAATACACAGCCTGTGTGGTGGGTTTCTGCAGCCTGGCTGGGTCGGATCGGAGCGTCACCAAATAAAACAGCGGGGTTGGCACTGACAGGTGACCACCCTGGCAAGGCCTGGGCTACAAACGGGCCAGGGAAGAACCCGCCCTTTCTCCTGGCATCGAAGTGGAGAAACAGACCATTCTGAAGATAACCCTGGATTTGAAATCGGAGGGTTGTAAGCAGCATTCTCCTTTTTGAAATATGATTTAACTGCTTGTGTAATAGGTTGAATTGTGCCCCCCCCCCAAATTCACATGCTGAAGTCCTAGCCCCCCAGAACCTCAGAATGTGACCTTACTGGACACGGGGTCTTTACGGAGGTGGTCACGTTAAAGTGAGGTTATCAGGGTGACCCTAATCTGATATGACCAGTGCTGGTATGAAAGGGTGACAACACTGGGAACAGAGACCCACGTAGAGGAAAGACAGGGGAAGGGACGCAGGCAGAAGGTGGCCGCCTACAAGCCAAGGAGAGAGTCTGCACCAGGTCCCTCCTTCATGACCCTCAGAAGGAACCAGCCCTGCAGACACCTGGACCTTAGACGTCGTCCTTCAAAACTGACACAGGAAACATCTGTTTTCTAAGCCTCTGCCCTCTCCATGGTCCTTCTTCTAATGGACCTAGGAAATTCGGGCAGCGTGGATGAGGTCATGATGCTCTTTGCGGAAGCTAAAATCTTCATTTATATCCCAGCCCGTATTTTTCCGCTTGGGCGACTAATCCAGTGAGACCTAACCCTGAAACTGGTTCCGTGGAAGGAACTGGTCACCCTTGCCAATGCATCTTTCACAACAGCCACTGCCATAAAGGTTAGCAACCACACCAGCCGTATCTCACCTGGGTTTGCAAGGCGGCTACTCGTTGGTCCAAGGATCTGATAAGGATCTACAGAGAAAAGAAAAGGTGTCAAACCTTAAAGACACGGCTGTGACTCGGTGATGTCACTGTGGGCGTTCTCCTGTCTTGTGCTCCCCGATTTCAGAGCTGAACGTATCCCCCACAGCAAGGTCACCTAGCGCCACCCCTCTGTTAGATAAAACCTCCCAGGGGAGCTGAGTAAAGTTTCTTGCTCAGGGCCTCCTCGTTCGGCTGAGCTCAGAGTTGGCCTGGGGTTCACCCAACCCTGTGCTCTCTCCACCCCAGGAAACAAATAGGCACACAAGTTCAGTCCCCAGCCGGCCAGCTCCATGTGGGCTGTGCTGACAGCATCACTGATAATATCAACCCCCCACTGTGCTGCATGTAGACTGGGCACCGGTGTGGGCACTGCTGCACCTGAGGGCACCAGTGTGGTATGCCTGGACAGTAAGGTGAAACTAAAAGAACTCATGAGCCACACAGAGACACCCTGTGTGCAAGCGGAATGTTTCCTTCCACATTCACTGTGCAGATAGACTGTGGACATGTTTTAACCAACTCCCCAGTCATCCTGGCTGAGTAGACATTCCGTCCCCAATTGATATATGAAGCAGTTGTGAAGAAGACAAAGCAACATGATTCTCATTAGCAAAGGACACATTTTAGAAATATGCCACCCAGCCGAAACCGGTTTGGCTCAGTGGATAGAGCGTCGGCCTGTGGACTGAAAGGTCCCAGGTTCAATTCTGGTCAAGGGCATGTACCTTGGTTGCAGGCATATCCCCAGTAGGAGATGTGCAAGAGGCAGCTGGTCGATGTTTCTCTCTCATCGATGTTTCTTACTCTCTATCTCTCTCCCTTCCTCTTTGTGAAAAATCAATAAAATATATATATATATATAAAAGAAATATGCCACCCAACCTGTTGCTTCTCTCATGGCCACCAAGGCTCCCGGACACATACCTAGCTGAGGCCGCTGGTCTTCGGTTTTGGGCACTGCGGAAGGAGATGGCTGAGCAGCTGAACATGAGACAACAAGAGAGACAATGAGCTGTAACTTATATGTGGCCACTCGTCTTTGATGCTATGGTATATCGTTCCATCAACTACCTTAGTGATGTAACAGTCTCCCTTTTATAATAAACATCCTACAGGAAGGAAAAATTTCTTTTCTTATGAAACCAAATGTGTACATTGCAGCAAAAAGAAAAGAGCACTCTGTATCATTTCATAAATGTATTTATACACCTCTTTTTCCAAAAGAAAAGAGTGTGAGATGGCTTACAAAACAGATTTAAATGAATTGCAATCTAAAATAAGTAAAAGGGAAATGATCAGGAAAATGAAATAAAGCCAGGGAGACTTTAAACATGGCCGAGATCAGGAAATCAAGATCAGGAAATCACTCCGTGTTTGATCTGCACTCAGCCATCCCAGGAGACACGCGTGAGTGCGCACTGAAGTCCATGACAGCAGTCATTCTCTTTGTGGGGAAGTGGGTATAGCCTGAAGACTAGCTGTGCCTGTCTTGCCAAGGGAAGGAACACTTTCCATGTTGGAAAACCACAGATTAGCTACAGAAATGATGTTTACTCCATCAAGAGGGACCCTGTGCCACGTGGATTCAAGGCAGTCGGAGCCAACACCTCACCTTTCGACTGGGGGGCGGGGTGGCCGTGACCGGTCCAGGCTGATCTCCTGGGTGGCTCATAAGGTAAATCTGTAAAGACGAAGAAATTGACTAAAAGATCAATAATTTACTTTTATAACATATCTTATATGTGTTTTGTGTTTATTTGAATAAATATTGTGCAAGAAAAGCCAGTCATCCAAAGAAATTTTCAACCTGGATTCCATCAGATCCAGGTTTTATTTACAAATGATAATTTTGTGTATTTTACTGATCTGACATTTCTACCCGTTAATCTGCCACCCCCACTGACAGATTCCCCCAAAGCCTGCAGACTCTCCTAGGGTGACCTCCAACCACAGGGCAGGCCACACTGAACGTTTCTTCCCGTCGAAGGCGTCCTGCACCCCAATGGGACTGACCTGTATCCAGCCCTTTTTTATCTCCAGGACCATCCAGAACAGAGCCCACAACTCTGACCGATCAACCAGTTCTTGCCTGAGGTCTGCACCCCAACCCCCAAATGATGCTCGCGTTCATTCTCCATTTTCTTCCGTGGAAATGAGCTCTGCCTCCTTATCCTTATTCTCCGCTGCCTCTCTCGGCCACCCCTCACTTTCTCTTTACAATCTCAGCCTTTTATGTTGAATCACTCTTAACTGTCTCCTCCTTTTCCTATGCGGATGTCTCCTCTTTCTCCTTCTCAAAATGAATTTAGAATTTCTCTAAAGTAAGTGGCATGACATAAACTGCAAGGCTGAGGGGGCACTGTCCCCACCGAGTGCCAGCAATGACCGTCAGGGCCTCAGGAGAGGCCAATCATTCCTTTGCATGGACCACGTGTGATCACTCGCCCCATCAATCTCTATGCACGTTGCATATGCAAATTTAATACCCACTTCTGCATCCTCGGTGCAAGTTCTAGCAATGGTTAAGAAGACTCTAAGTCATTTTCTTTCAAAAACATATTCCAGGGACAGTTATGCACGCTCCAGCTGTGCACATATCACGCTGCTTCTACCTCCACCTTAGTACAGAACCATTTCAAAAAAACTAACTGCATCTTCTTGGACTGAAGGGTCTCAGGTCAGTGCCACGGGTCATGCCGGGCCAACCGAGAAGCCACAGCCAGATGTTTCGGGGCGACTTCGCTGCCAGGCCCCTGGAGACGGCTGCAGCGTCGCCCTCGGAGGGCAGCGCAATGCCGCTTGCTCTGAGCCTCGCTTTAAACAGCTCATCTTACTTAAAGCTGGCAATCTGGTGGGTCCGTCTCCCAAAAGCTGGACTGCGCTGCGGAAGACGTGTCTCTCCCCGTTTTCAATCCCAGAGAGAAGGGCCGTGAAATGTAACCTGAACATCAGCGCAGAGCGGCCGTAATTTACTCGGTCTGCTTGGCTGCCGGCATCCCCGGCGGGGTGGTCGCTGAAACCCTACCCTCGGGGCTTCGGCTGGGCTGGACGACTTTTCTGTTTAATCGCGGCCATGGCTCGCCACTCCCTGCCGGCTGGCATCCTCGCATCGTTGGACCGACCACCAGCCTTTCCCACCCGGCTCCGCGGTCTCACTTTTCTGGTGTCGGGGTTGGTTACCCGCGGGGATTAAACCGGCAGCCACTATCCATTTACAACGAACAGAATCCCAACTTAAGTTTCTGGGAGCATTGTGCATAGGAATTCTCATCCAGTTGCATTTTGTCTGAAAAGTGGTTAGTTAGCCAGAGTTTCCACGTGAGAATTGTTTCGGAACAAAAGACAAATCTACTGGCCAGACCATCCTAGCAGCATCCAGCCCAATTCAGGAGCAGGGATCACACGTTTGTCCTACTTGTGTCCTGGGATGGAGAGCACGGGGCTGGGGGCTGGGGACCCCAGGGCCTTCTGTGTACCAAATGCTGAAGTAAGGTAATATGTAGCGTGTCCCCAAAATTATATACACCCACTTTGAATACTTATAAAGGCAGTGTTTTTAAAATACACTTCACTTTCAACATGGAGCTAACAGCTGTTATAGTGCGGACACGTTTTGGGGGGACTCCCTGTAGAAATACATTCTAGACCTTCGTTTCTCCAAGTGCGGTCCGAAGGCCAGCAATATGGGCAACATCTGGGAGCTGGTGAGAAGTTCAGAATCTCTCTCCAGATCAACTTTTTGGAACCTGCATTTACCAGGACCCCGGGGACGGTGCACACCGACACGGAGGAAGCCTGTTCCAGGCCTTTCCACGGCTCTGGTTCAGAACGCTGTGCCCGACAGACACTCATTTCAGAGGCACTGCCCGAGAGCGGCCACACAGAGAAAGACGTGTGTGCAAAGAGTTCTAGATCGAACGGTTTTATCTGAGATAGATGAACACTAACAGAATTAATAGCAAGTGTCAGTAGGTTAGTTTGCTGCTATTTTAAACGTAAAGAAAAAAGTATGGCGGCTGGAAAAAATTAAACACCGAACTACTAATAGAGAAATATTTTTGAGACTCTATTTCCCCCCCTAAAATCCTCCTAAGGGTGTGTCACCGTGTCCATTCTCCCTTGAAAGTAAGTCAGGACCTAAACGACACCATGTCTGGTCTTTAGCCAAGAACCTGCGATGTTCACGTGAACAGTGACTGGCATGTTCGCAAACATGTCACCCCGGAAGATAAGCGGGCTTTGTTTGCCTTAATGACATTCTGGCCCGATGCAGCCTTATCAGCTGCCGATCACAGCTGAGGGTGCCCAGCTCCTCCTCCCCCCCCCGCCCCCACCCCGGGGTATGACAGGGGAAACGCTGGGTCGGCCTCGCTGAGCCAGCCGGCCAGCCGTGACCCCGGCAGCACCTTCGCCCTGGGGCAGAGACGGTGGAGTTTACTGAAGAATGACGGCTCCCTGCACAGGGCTACTTGCCCTCGGTGACAGCAGGAAGGCTTCTCACCGGATCTACGCACACTCCATTCTCAGGGGCCCCTTCAGTGCTCTCCACGCCTCTCCAACCTTGGTCTGTGAGGCAGCTAACTCTGGCAGAAGGGCCTGCTCGGGGAAGGTGGATTTCTAGCAGGAAGCTGGCTATTTTTTTCTGTAACAGAGGCTGTAAAAACTGAGCTTTCTAAACCCATTACACAGGCAGCTCGGGTTACAGAGAAGCATGTGCCAGGATCCGGACCAAAAACACGAAGCTACAAACAGGGTGTCGCTCCTCCACACCCCCACCTCTGGGTACTTGCTGGGAGCTGGGATCGGTTCCTGATCCCCCCCACGACATCAAGTAACCAAGACAGCATCCTCCCGGCCCTTCCTGCAGTTACCTTACTGAGGCGTGAACCTCACCCAGTTCACATGCTCCTCCTCCAGCCCTCGGAAGAGCCGCCCTCCGGCCCTCTTCCCGTCCGCCCTCCCACTTTTCCAAGGGCCAGAACCGGGACTGCGGGCGAGTCCCCCTCATTCTGCAGGACCCACCCCACATTTACAGAGCAGCTCCGGGGGTCCCAGCTGGGCTGGATGGGGAAGGACAGGCCTCGCTGGCTCCTGATGAACTCAGAGGCCAAAGGCAAAGGCAGAGAGAGGAGAGCTGTTGCCAGAAGCAACCTATAACCCAGGTTTAATGGGAGGAAGATTCAGACGATGAAGTCGCTCTCCTGTTTTCCTCCAGACATTTCCACAGCCTTCTAACCCCCCCTCAAAGACATGGGGAGCTGGGGCATTTCACATGCCCTCCCTGGCTAGGTTTGCAGACCTCTGGGTTGAGTATAGCCTGGAAAGCGAAGAATGCGTGCTTAGCCATTCGCTAAGATCTGGGCTTTCCAAAGCGCCCCACGGGGAGAAGGGGTTACCCCACTGTCTGGCTGTGCCAGGTGGTGCTGACCGGCACTAGGCTGCCAGCTCCAAGGCAGGGATAACTCGTAATTCCAAGAAACCCTTGAAGAGCAGCCACTGGAAAGTGAAAGTCCAGGCTGCACTCCCAGGCTCAAGTCGCCACTCTCTCTTGATAACATCCTAGATGGGTATCGATGCCGGAGTTGCCATGGCGATGGAGGAGGGGAGGAGGGGGTTACCGAACGTCCTCCTTGGCGCACACGAGAGCTTTCACATGAACTGCCCCCAAGATGCCAGGCGGGCGGCACATGTCGAGGTCAGAAACCAGCTTGCAAGCTCCTACGAGTCAGACCTGTCTCTGTCCCTGCCAGCTGAGACCTTCAGGGCCATAGCTCCAAAGGCATGCGCTCACAGGGGAGGAGGGGTGGGGGGAGGGTGTCTGATGCTAATGACTGACAACGCGAGGAACACATGAAACATCGTGAAACAAGATCGCAGAAATGGAATGTATGTGACACTCCTCTGTGCTACCACCTCCTAGGAGTGGGGGAGGGGCTGCCCTGAATGCTGATGTGTAGGAAAAGGATGGGGGAGGGGGCGGGGGGAGGAGGAGGAGGGCGGGGAGGAGGTGCATTCTGAATGGGGAACATTCCGGGAAAGTTCATAGGAAGCAGCCTGGGAAGAGGGGGGATGAGCGTGAACGGAGGAGTGAATGCCCGGGTGTGGTTACCTGTCAGGTCCCTAAGTCTTGGCCGATCATGGGGTCCAACTGAAATGCCACAGCGACGTGACAGGGCAAGCAGGAGGGGGCTCTGGAATAAGGGGTCCATTTGGGAAGATCAGCCACAAGAGGGTAGACTGGGGGCAGCGGCCCAGGGATGGGTGACTCGAGGCAGGAAGGAAAGGAGGGAGGTGGGTGGGCGGCAGGACACAGGGAGGTGGGAGGACATGGGAGTGGGGGACTGGAGTGGACACGCCGATCATGGCACAGCCACCCGAGGGTGCCGGGCACAGAAACAGGTGCCTATGCCGGGCTCCAGGCCCTCTCCAGGGAAGAGTCCACCGTCACCTCTTCTCAACACAGAGAGATGCCCACCGACCACAGGGACACGGTCACACTCCCAGTGAACCCCTCACCCATGACTCCTGCAGCTTAGGGGTCAGCTTGGCAGCCCCCGAGCTGTCACAAGGACCCCACTTCCACCATCACCGGCTGTCACACACACAGGACCCTTCCTTCAAGGCTGAGCACTGCCCCGCCCAACGCCTACAACCTGCTCCCTGTTCCGAGGTCAGTCCCTGCCTCTGGCTTGCAGCAAGCAGTTAGTTCTCCGCCTGTTCTGCTGGCTTAACTTCTTTTTAGCTCAGGCCCCACTGTTTGTATCTCCTTCCGTAACCACAGCAGTCCTTAAAACGGGCATTTCTGACACAAACTTAGTCTCAGAAACATACATACTGCTAACGGAGACACGGCAGTGGGGTCTCTCCCGGGTCACCCTCAAATGACGGACGGAAGGGAGGACATGACCCGAGCCACGGGACATGCATTTGAGTTTGACGCCCTTGCCGTTCCCTCCGCTGAAGCACAGAGATGGAGACCCGGCCATCACCCTCCCAGCCACACGTACACCTGAGGGGTCGTGTATCTTCCAAACCCACTGTAGCCTCAGATAGGACACCTAGTAGAGCCAGGATCCACTGTTCTACCCATGCAGCAACCTGCTCTGACTACTGGGCTACACCAACCCCTTTGGCCAACGCTGTCGGCCTCTGACAGAACTCAACGCCAGCTCCAACCCCCGGCTTTTGTAAGGCAGTCAGAGGCATCGTGAGATAGCTTCTCACAAACAAGCAAGCCCTGGCCAATGCCCTGCAGGCAGCTTTTACTTTCTTTAAGAAGGATGGGAACGTTTTTAGCACACTCACAGAACCATCTGCTCACCCTGCTTGCCCAAGGCCGCGTTGCCAGTGTGGACTGGGAACTCGAGCTGGAGGGAAACGTGCCTGTGTGAGCCTCTCTCGGTCCACAGGTGGGTCCCGCAGGGCGGGCTAGTGTACGCTGGACCCTGGGTCTCATCATACTGAGCGGCCTGTGCCATCTGTCACATGCCGGAGCTCACAGCGCCCTCGGCCGAGCCTCCCACCAGGCCTCCCAGGACCGGGGAGCAAGCGTGTTCTCTGTGGTCGGGGAGCCAGGCACCAGGACGCTACCAGGCAGTGTCAGGTGCAAACAACGCCCAGAACCTTCTTACCTCGGGCTCCTCGGCCCCCTGCCCCCCTTCTTTCTCTCTGGAAAGAAACCGCAGCTCCAAACTCAGTGCTTTCCCCAGCTCCAATGAGGTTCGTGGAGCGGCCATGTGGTGGGGGGGCCAAGGGCCACAGCCTGGGTCTCAGGAGGCGTGCGTTCCAGATCCGTGTCTGAACACGAAACAGCGACCCACGGCCCGGAGTCACGGCTTGCTCAGCTGTGAGGGGAGGGGACTGGCTACGGCACGCTGTCCCCTGCCTCAAATGCCCACCCCTCCTCCTCCTCCTGGGGCACTCAAATGCCCACCCCTCCTCCTCCTCCTCCTGGGGCACCCCGTCCCTCTCTGGAGAGCCCCCCTCTGCCTCTGGTGGAGGGAACTCCTCCTCCTGCTCCGACTGTGCTTCGGGGAAAGGTGGCTTGTCTGTGTCCCTATGTGTCAGGGAATTCCTCTTGCCTGTGCTGTTCCCCGAGGAGCAATCTTAACCCTCAGGCCTTCAGTGAACTCAGAAGCAGGCGCACTCCTGCCTGCCGGGCGGGGCACCCACCCGGCTGCACCTCTGCCCTCCCGGCTTCCAGGCAGCCAGTAACGGGGCTGATCTGCTTTTCATTCCACGGGGATTCCAGGCGCCCCGAGGAGTGTGATCTGTGAGTGACATTCGGCTCCAAACCCCCAGAGGCCCCAGAGGACGGTGCAGGGCCCCCGCCGGGCCCAGGATCGGCCCTCTCGGGATGGCGTGACCTGGTCCCGGATCTCCCGGGCCGTCCCGGGTGTCTCGGGGAGCACAGCGCACAGGGGTGTTTCCGTACCTGGCCTAGTTGTAATTCTTTGCGTAGCTTCGGGATAAACGGAAGTATTGGGGAAAATAAAAGCTGCACCCCCTGCAGACAAAAGGAGAGACAAACAAGTGAAGGTCTTCGGCTGCGTCCGGGGTCCATCTCCGCAGCAGCGCCCGGCCTACTCTGCCCGGCGACAGGGAGGGGGGCCTGGGGGCCTGCGCAGCACGTCCCGGCCGGAAAGGACGGAGCCGGCCAGAGGCGGACCCTGACGCTGGGAGCGGACACGGACTCCCTGGGCCCCCCTGGTGGGTGGGTGTCCTGCGTTTTGATTTTACAGCTTCTTGCTGAAGGCCGTCCTGGTGCCCCGCCACGTGCCCAGCAATCTCAGTTTATTTTAAAAATCCTATGGGGGTGTTTTAATTTTGAAATTGCGCACACACACAAAAAAGTAAAATATTTGAGAGCCCTGGAAAGCAGTCCCAAAGAACTGCATTTTGCCAAAGGCTGTATGGATCTCGTTAAAAATGAACCCACATCTCCACTCGAATGCCTGTTTCCCTTTCTGTCTCTCATCAACACGTGTGTAAGTGAGCAGAAAATACTCCCTTTTCTCGGCTCAGTCCCTGCGGAGCTGGGTGTCCCGGTCTTCGATCGCTTCTATGTTGAACAATAACAAAAGGATGACATCGGAGCTGTCCTGACACTTTCACTCACTGTCCCAATTTTTAAATAACCACGAAATTATCACAAAACACGTGTCACTCAAAGGTGTTTCCTAAGAGGGGGAAACGGCTTTGTCTAAGTTATTTGTTATTTCTGGCCACAAGGGCATTACTAAGCTAATGAGAGTAACCTACATGGGGAAAAGTATCCTAAACAAAACCTTTTTTTTTTTACTTTACTCTAGCTTAAAAGCACAATGTTCTGAATACCGAGGACCAAGATCAAGTGGCAATTTCACTGTAATACTCAAACCTGGACTCCCATGATGCATTTTAAAATAAAATGGCAAGTCTTCGGAACACGGCTGCGTTTCCACGTGAGGGCTGACCCTGCGTTGGCTGGCTTGCTCACAGGGGTGACCTAAAACTCGCCCTCACTGGCTTTACCCCCAGCCTGGGCCTGGGGGGTGGCAGAGGGTGCCTGCAGGCTGAGCAGTGGGGGGCGGGGTGGCTATGCTCCTGCTGCTGTCTCCTCAGGAGGGGGGAGAGGGACCCTGACTTCGGGCACATACAGGGCAGGAAGCCCAGCCTGTACTCGGAGCCTCTGTGATGAGGGAGGGAGGGAGGAGGTTAACCTGGAAGAAGCACTATGTTACAGGCTACTGGGCTCCGGCAAAGATAAACCAGCAAATAAAATGTGGAAATCATGGTTAGCGACAGAAGAGCAGGTACTTGGTTAGTCCCTCGTTTCATAGCCTCCGAAATCCTAACACCGTCTCCCTCTCAACAGGCCCTCGTGAAAAACACCGCCATTCCCTGCGACTGCCCTTCTCGGATGCACCAAGTCTGCACTAGAAAGACTAACAGCAAGATGGTGGCCTAAGATGGACCCCAGAGGAGAAAATAAAACTGCTGCTTGTCCTAGTCAACATTCCTTGATGAATAAAAATGAAAAAGAAAAAAAAAAAGAATGCTCAGGGCCCCTTTGGACCGGACATGCTCTTGGTGACTACAGCCAGCACAGCGCCTCCTACCTGTCAAAACCCCTCAAGCATCCACCTCTGCCTCCTGCCGCACAGACGGGCCCACACTCCACCTGCACGCATGCACCTGCGGGAGCCCCCGGCCCTCCGGGCGGGCAGCATTACCTGTGTTTCTAGCATGCATTAACCGCGGAGAGTTTTGTAAGGCTTTATCAACATCATCTGAAGTCAAATGTGGAAGAGGAGCTACAAAACAAAACAGCAACATCAAAATGAAAAAGAGAGAGGATCACCTTCCTTAAAAAGAAAAAAAAAGAAGAAAAACACCCCCCCCCCCCGCCACCACCACCAACAAGGCTGCTTGGCGGTCTCTCCCCCGCCTGACTGGGTAGCGTGTTAAAACCTAGACGGGGCCCCACAGGTGACCAGGGAGTGAGAGGTGGGGATGCCAGGCAAAGCGTTTACCCCAGCGTTCCGCCACCCCACGCTCGCACTGCGCCTGTCTCCCGACCATGCTCGCCGTCTGGGGAGTGAAAGCATGCAGCAGACTCTGTGGTTCATGCCTCTCACCCCACCGCGCCTCCCCTTCCGCACGGTCCCGCCATATCTCACGAGGCCAGGTGGGGACGCCCCTCACATGTGGACGTGGGGTGTGAAGGGGGCCTGGTTTAGCGAGAGGGAAGGTAAGCCCATCCACCCCGTCCTCTGGGAGCCCTGCCACATGTCTCCAGCTCACTGGGGCACCGTGGAGACTAGTTAAGGTGAGCAGATAAAGCTTCCTTTCCCTGGGGTCTTCGCGGCCCAGGGGGCCCTGCAGGAGGCAGCTGAGTGCTAAGGTGACTGTCTGGCTTCCTCTGAAAGTGCCGAGGGCTTCTCAGCCTGTGTTCGCCCACCGCGTCGCCTTCTAAGCGACCCGCTCTCTCAGATGCTCTCTGGGAACTGTGTTAGGTGCTGTCGGCAAACTGGACGGAACCCTGTGCAGCTCACGCTAACAAGAGCCACACCCCAGGGGCCTCGGTCCGGAGCGGGGGCCTCTTACTCTCTCTGAGGTAGTGGAGATGGGAGAGAAGGATGTCGGCGTTGTAGCTGGGCGTGAGCCTCTGGAAGTCGTCCTTGGTCATCTTGCACAGCTCCTTGCCGTCGATGTTCTGGAACAGCAGGACGTCGACGTCCGGAAGGCCGTACTCTTTCACGGCCCACTCCAGCCACTGCCGCACGTGGTCCGTGCTCCACAGCGTGGGGTCTGAGAGGGGATGGAAACATACTAGGTCAACGCCTGGAGATGAATTTCTAGGGCGGAGTCAGGGCTGGAGCCAGGCTCCTGGACAGGGCACGACCTTGAGCCATGCTCTGGGACAGGTCATGACCTTGAGACATGCATTCAGACAGGTCATGGCCTTCAGCCATGCTCTTGGACAGGTCATGACCTTGAGTCAGGTGCCAGGACAGGTCAGGGCCTGGAGCCAGGCTCTAGGACAGGTGAGGGCCTGCAGCCAGGCTATGAGACAGGTCACGACCTTGAGCCATGCTCTCAGACAGGTCATGACCTTGAGCCATGCTCTTAGAGAGGTCAGAACCTTGAGTCAGGCTCCAGGACAGGTCTCTGGGACAGGTCAAAGACAATGTCTGGGGGAAAGGCAAAAACACCCACTGACTCACACACACAGATCAGTCCTTAGCATGAACTGTTCTGGAAGTTCAGGCTTCCTCCCCCACCTGCCCCGCTGTTGCTCGGATACTCCAAAGGTTCCTGCAGGGACGGGGGCGGATATTCTTTGCCCCCATTTACATTCATTTTAACCTTTTCACTTAAAATACATACGAATAAATGGAAAACTTCCTTAGACCATGACCAGTATCTTTATAGGAAATTATGAGTTAGCCACACATGTCAGGAAGATGCTAATTATAGATTACAAAACAATCCCAAATAGTATTTACACAAAATCCTGCAAGTACAGAATGGGATAGGAAGTGCAGGTAAACCCCGGCCCTGCGGGGAGCTGGCCCTGATGAGAGCGAGCCACCAGCTACGCGCTTTTCCTGCCGAGAACATGGCTGTGCAGCCAGCTCGCACCTGCGGGCCCCGGGCTGGCCTGGCCCTGACTCACGTTCCGCAGCTGTGGCGCCCACACGCCCACAGGATGCAGGCAGGCGATGTCTTCACGCTCCCCTGAGGTGAGGGAGGGGGCCTGGGAGGGCAGGGCACTGGGGAGAAGGAGCTGGCGATCCCCAACAGAAACACAGCCAGGGCTCCCCACCCTCACGCCCGGGGGCCGGGGGCTCAGGGCGCCCACTTGCAGAGGGGCTCCTCCCTTGTGGCCCTCGGTTCCCAGACACCTGGGCCGGGAGCAGGAGCCCAGAGCTGTGACCCCTGCGCCTCTCAACTTGCTGTGGCCTCTGCAGGCGGCTGCTCTTCCCTGTTTTACATGTAAAATGCGAGCCCTGACCTCAGCCTCCGCACAGGCCCGCAGGGGTCAGGCGGCGGATGCTCTGGTCACGGCGAGGGAAACCGTCCGGCGTGGGAGTCAGTCATCCTGCTGAATCACTGTTTACCCGATCACTTCAGGCCGCTTGGTCTTACTAACGTCCAGGCTCCCCACGAATGGGCATGGCCAGTGCCGGTGAAACCCATTTTAAGTTTACAGGAGCAACAGTGATAGCGACAAATCTCCAGACAGTCGTAGTATGTGAGTTCTCTTCTCTTCCCTCCCTCCCTTCTTTCGTTCATTCCCTTCTCTTCCACATCTTTTTAAAACATTAAATGTGCTGGGTGACACTGGTTAATAACATGTAAGTTTCAGGTGTGCAATTCAGTACTACATCAGCTGTGTGTTCCACTGTGTGCTCACCGCCCTGAGTCTAGAGCAGCGGTTCTCAACCTGTGGGTCGCGACCCCTTTGGCGGGCGAACGACCCTTTCACAGGGGTCGCCTAAGACCACCCTGCATATCAGATATTTACATGACGATTCATCACAGTAGCAACATTACAGTTATGAAGTAGCAACAACAATAATTTTATGGTTGGGTCACAACATGAGGAACTGTATTTAAAGGGCCAGAAGGTTGAGAACCACTGGTCTAGAGTCTCCTTCTGTCACCATATGTTTGACCCTCTTGAGCCTAATCCTCGTCCCCCCCACCCCTTCCTCTCCAATAACCGCCCCACTGTTGTCTGTGTCTATGAGTCTATTTGTTGCTTTCTGGCTTGTATCCCACGTGAGTGAAATTATAGGGTTCTTGTTTCATAGATATTTTTAATAGAAAGAAGTTACTTCAAATCCAGTGCGCACTACCCTCATCCCAGCCCCTCCTGCACCCTCCAGGAGTAACCACTGACAGCTATACTTGCGTCACAGCTATAGATGCCAATACTTCCACCTATCTAGTACATGCATTGTTTTCTGTTCTTAAAGTTAACAGCAGTGGCAGCTGATTGGCTTTGGGCTCTCAGCCCTGTATTTTCAAGATGTGCCCAAGTTAATGCATGCAGGCACACTCAGCCAACTAAGCAGCTCTCGGCACCCCTCCCATACAAATATGTCCAATTTACTGATCGATGCACCTCACCCCATGTCTGCATCCATGCACATGTGAAGGAGTCTGCATGGTCCACGGCCTGGGGTCCGTATCAGAATCACGGGGAGATGGAAAACCTTCAGCTGCCTGGTCTCGCCCACGGACGCCCTGACTTAATTGCTGGAGGGCAGCCCGGACATGAGGGTTGTGCAAAGGTCCCTGGGTAATTCCAATGTGCAACCCAGGTCCAGGCCACCTACCCTGGGCCTCTCTACTCAGAGTGTGACCCTGGGACCAGCAGCATCACCATGACCTGGGAGCGCATTAGAAATGCAGAGTCTCTTGTCCTGGCCGGTTTGGCTCAGTGGATAGAGCGTCAGCCTGTGGACTGAAGGGTCCCAGGTTCGATTCCCGGCCAAGGGCACATGCCTGGGTTGCGGGATCCGTCCCCAATAGGGGGAGTACAGGAGGCAGCCGATCAATGATTCTCTCTCATCATGAATGTTTCTATCTCTCTCTCCTTCTCCCTTCCTCTCTGAAATCAATAAAAATATATTTTTAAAAGAAATGCAGAGTCTCGGGCGCCCCCCGGACCTGCTGAATCAGGGTGTGCATTTCCGCAAGCTCCTCGGTGACCCCGTGCACACTAAGCTTGGGGGAGTCCTGGTCCAGGGTGCGTACCCAGATGTGCAGTTGCTGGGTCACAGGGCACGTGCCTGGTCACCTGCACCAGCTATGCTGGATTTCAACCCATATTCTACCCTCTCTCCATCAGCAATCAGTGCGCAGACTTGGCAAAGGCGGAGCCCGGCTCTCCTGCGGAGAGGAGAACATCTACAAAGACCCCCACCGCCCGCCGACAGGAAGGCGTGCCCACTGCTCCGCCGTCCAAACACATGGGAACAGCCTGTGAGTCTGCAAGCCGATCGTGAGGTGCACGGTTCACTTTCTCCAGCTCACCGGGATTCAGATGGTTCTTTTTTCAAAAAAAAATTTTTTAAAAATATTTTATTGGTATTTTTCAGAGAGGAAGGAAGAGGGACAGAGAGCTAGAAACATCGATGAGAGAGAAACATCGATCAGCTGCCTCCTGCACACTCCCCACTGGGGATGTGCCCGCAACCAAGGTACATGCCCTTGACCGGAATCCAACCTGGGACCCTTGAGTCCGCAGGCCGACGCTCTATCCACTGAACCAAACCGGTTAGGGCCAGATGGCTCTTTTTAAAAAAAAAAAATGTTTTTATTGATTTCAGAGAGGAAGGGAGAGAGGGAGGGAGGGATAGAATCATTGATCAGCTGCCTCCTGCACACCCCCTACTGGGGATCAAGCCCACAATCTGGGCCTGTGTCCTGACTGGGAATCAAACCGTGACCTCCCGGTTCATAGGTCAGTGCTTAACCACTGAGCCATGCTGGCCAGGCCAGACGGCTCTTGGTCACTGGGTCAGGACCCTGCTTTCAGGGTTACAACGTTCACGACTCCAGACTGTGGTCACAGGTCTCTTCTCTACTCTCCCTCACTGCGCGTCATGATGCTCACACAGACACGCGTGGAACGGTGGCCCGGACCCCTCACTCAAGTCCTCCTGTCCTCAGTGCCGTGCAGAGGACAGGGACACAGCTCAGAGGGAGCCTCCCTGCCCCCCTTCTCCCCAAGGCATCTCCCCGTGACTCCTCCAGGAGACTTCTTTTTGCTTTGCTTTGCCTTGAACCACAGGGCAGGCCCAGTGTAACCACTGCCTAGAAACCAGTTCACCTGGGGACTTCCTCCTCTTAGCGGCAGGACCAGAGTCTACGGATGACACATAAACCCCTGAAAGCCACTGGGTCCTGCCGCCATGTGACAGGTCATCTCAGGAGGACAGCCCAGTCCCTCCCTGTGCCGTTAACTGGCTTCCCTCCCGAGCCAGGCTGCTGCGGCTCAATTTCCTTCAGGTGACTCCTGGGCAGGACGCCAGGCACCAGCTCCTGGACCGGCACCGTCTCATCTCTGAGATTTCGGTGGAGCAGCCGTGCTCCTGGGCTCTGGGCAGGAGTAAAGCCGCGCCCGCCCCTCCCGGGAGCCCTGCGGCCACACCTCTCCAGCGCCTTCTTAAAGAATAGGTGCGCGTTCTCTGAACTACAACCCCCCTCCCAGGAACTTATCCTGAGAAAATCGCAGAGGATGTGGGAAGTGATTTATGCCCACGGATGTCCTTTGTGGGGTGTTTATGACCATGCAGCGCTGGAAACACCCTAACTGTCCCCCAGGGCAGCGCGCCCGGGGCTTGGGAAACCGAAACCCACACGGCTGAGTGCCTTTACCGGCAGGAAAAACCGTCCGGGGTGGATTCAGTGGAAAAGTCTGAAAACGCTATGGCAGCAGCGTTGTATTTTGTGAAGGAAGAGAAGTGCGTCCTGGGAAAGAATTTTGGAGGAACGTGCAGCCAAGTGGCAACTGCCTTTTCTAGGGAAAAGGCGATGGAGATTTTTAGATATTTTTTTCTTTTTCACTAAACGGTATCTTCTCTTTATTTTTTTCTTCAAAAAAAAAAGCAGATAATGCATGGGTTAAAAATTATTTATTAAAAAATTTTATCCTCCCCTATGTTCCAAATCAAAACAAGGTCTTATAAATGATTAAATATAGATTTATATGTGTACTTATTTGTCACAGCATTTTTATAAAATTTCTTTCAAGGGTATACAATTTTTATCTCGGCCTGGTCGGTGTGGCTCAG